AATAAAAATGCCTATGTATTTTAGGTCCCAGAAAACGGACCGTATTTTGACAGAGCATCAGTTCCATAATTTATTTTCATGTATTTACATAACTCAAACTATTTAGCAATCTTCGTATTTTAACTGTATATATATTTTTGCATCTTTTATTCCATAGCAACATGCTTTCTAGCTCTCCCACAACCACTTTGTTTAGGGAAGGTGTCCCAAAGATTTCTCTTCACATTATAAACTAGCAAGAAAGGAAAGGGCTTGAGAATTTGTAAATAATGAGCACAGAAAACCTTCTGAACATCAGCCATTTATTGCATGTTCAACAGTTAGCTTTTGAGGGTCCTTAGGATCCCAGGCCAGGATCTAGGCACTAAATATACAACAGAATCATGGCCAAACACACAGGTTCTTAATTTAGGTAGGCTGGATTCAAGTCCTAGCTATATAGCTTACTATCTCTTTAAAAATTACCCAATTACTTTACTTCTCTATGACTCAGTTTACTCATTTATGAAGGAGGGATACAAGTAACACCTTTCTCCCAGCTTTATTAGGAAAGTTAAATGGCATATCATGTGAAAACCACTTAGAACCATCCTTTGCACATAATAGGACTTAATATCTGTCAGTTGTTATTATAAGAGGAGATGACTTTTGCTATGGTTTGGATATAGTTTGGCCCCAGCAAATGTTAAAATCTGATCTCTGGGGTTGGCAGTGAGGCCTACTGGGAGGTGTCTGGGCCATGGGGCAGTTCTCTCATGAAAGGCTTGCTGCCCTCCTTCAGATAATGAGTGAGTTCTCACTCAATGAGTCTGGCACCTGCTTCTCCCCTCCAATCTGCCCATCTTGTGATGTCTGCACACGTTTGTTCCCGTTCACTTCTGCCATGACTGGAAGTAGCCCAAGTCCCTCCACAGAAGCAGATGTGCTTCCTGTACAGCCTGCAGAACTGTGAACCAAATAAACCTCTTTTCTTTAGAAATTACCCAGCTGCAGGTATTCCTTTATAGCAACACAAATGGACTAAGACAGTGCTTAACAATTTTTGACAAATCACCTATTGATAAACTTCTCCACCATCACCATAACTGCCTTCCCTGCCCTCTTCTCTAGCTGCCTAATCCATGCTAGCAAAGAAATGACAAATGAGAATATTTTTTTGAAACAGAGTCTCGCTCTGTCACCCAGGCTGGAGTGCAATGGCACGATCTTGGCTCACAGCAACCTCCACCTCCCAGGCTCAAGTGATTCTTGTGCCTCAGCCTCCTGAGTAGCTGGGACTACAGGTGTGCACCATCACACCTGGCTAATTTTTGTGTTTTTAGTAGAGAGGGAGTTTCACCATGTTGGCCAGGCTGGTCTTGAACTCTTGGTCTCAAGTGATCCACCTGTCTCGGACTCCCCAAGTGCTGGGATTATAGGCATGAGCCACGGTGCCCCGACAGAAATGACAACTGCATTAACTAAACTAACAACTAGGATTGTGGTACTGGAAAGTCTTTAGTTCATTCCAGCTCCTGCTTTTTACAAATGAAGACATGAAGTCCAGAGATGTTGCCCAGCTTGAATCAAAACTCACACAACTAATTAGGGGTGATGCTTGTATTAGATCTTGGGTCTGTACATTTTTAGTTCAGGCACTGGTCTGGAGAAATCTGCAAAGCAGAAAATTAGTCCACCCTCTCATTTGGCTCGTGTTTGACTCCACCAAGGGAACAGGTAACACTGCTCTTCCTAGGTGGGGGGTTTACCTTGCTGTAAATTTCTATTTTTAGCCTCTATAGAAGGCCTACTCCCTGCAGATTCACTCCGGCTAACAGACTGCTGTGGGATTTAAGGCACTCTCCATGGTGTTTCTTGGTGGTTGCCATGCCAACGAAATTTAATAGAAACACAGTTTTCTAGTTGAATATTCTGGTGAAGGCTTTAAAGCCAGATTAACAGCTTCAACTCTGAAGCTTAAATGATGCAAATGATTTGTACTGGCACATAGTAGGCATACGATAATACTTGTTGAAATTCAGAATGAATACATATATGCAATTAGTTGCATGAGGCAGCTGGAAAACCTAACAGCTGAGAACCGAGCTATTTATTAAAGTCAATACTTAAAAGTCAGGGTGGAGTGGTGGAGTAAGTTTATCATATACTCCTTGGGAAGTGGTGTAGCTCTGGGTTTTCCTAATTACCTAACACTTGGTGTGAGAAATGATTTGTGTAATTCCAAAGGACTGTGTCTGATCTTTGGGCCACTTACTAGCTCTGCAACCCAGGGGGTTCCCTCTGCACACAGATGTTTGCTGCAGACATGGAAAAAGTAGCAGGAATCTGACCTTGGGTTCCTTTTGCAGGCCTTTTATCTGGGGCAAGTATTCAAATCTTAAAGAGTCTGTGTTTAGTCCCCATAAGACTGTTTTTTGGCAAATGTAATCAACATATTTAATAAATGGATCAAAAAAATTTAAACAGCCTCTCTGGTTCAAACCTTTCAAACCTGTGTTTGAAAACAGCCCTTCTGGCCACAATGAGTGAGTGAATGCTATTTAATAAACGGAGAGGAAAGGGAGCTCAAAAATCTCCCTTCAATTCCTAGGTCTTTCCGCTGGGATTCTCTAACCACCCCAGCCTGAAGGGCTCTTCTCTTCTCATTGAGATTTATATTCTATATTAATCATTTGGCCTTCCTCCCCTCCTTCTTCTCTTCCTTTCTGCCTCTTTAGCTCTCTTTTCCTACCTATTCTTCCCTTCAGCCCATCCTCTTTTCCTCTCCACCACCCTTCCTTCCACAGCCATGATGGAAAGTGACCAGGCTTTTGGAGTGAGAATTAGCTTCAAATTCTTACTACCTCTCATGCTTCTTAGCAGCATGACCTTCGGCTGTCATCACATCTCCAGCAGCATTCTGTCTTGTGCACAAAGGGCTGCCAATGTCTGCCTTCTTGGTTATTGTAACAAAGGAGTGTTTCTCAAACTTTAGTGGTCATGAGAGTTACCTGGGGAGACAGGTGAAAACGCAGATCTTCAAGATCCACAACAGCAGATTCCAATTTATTAGGTCAAGGTTTCAGACATCTGCATTTTGACCAGATCCACAGGCTCCCCAGTCCCACGTTGAGAAACATTGGATATGTGCATAAAAGTTTAGTATAGTAAGATCCATTGTAATTACTCCAAAGGTGAGAGCTATGATCATTAATAATTCAGCAAACATTTATTGAACATCTGCTATGTGCCAGGCATGATGTCAGGTGCTATAGACACTTCCCATTTAATTCCTTTTACTATGTATTTAACTTGTTCTATATATATATATGCCTTGTTCCCATCCCACTAGTTTTAAGTGCCTGGAAGTCAGGGTAAAACAGCATAATGTGGCATAGAAAAACATCAATGTTAGAAGACATGAACTCTAATCCTGATTTTATTATTTATTACCTATGTGACTTCAGGCAAGTCACTTTACTTCTCAGAACTTTATTTTCTTCATCAAAAACTGGAAAGTCAAGACATACAGTGGTTAAAAGCCTAGTGTTTGCCATCCTGGCTCTAATGCTTTCTAGATTTGTGATCTTGAGAAAGTTACTTAACTTCTTTGGGCCTGTTTCCTCCTATGTAGAAAGGGGACTTACTTGTTCAATATTCATTCTTTTAACAGATATTTTTTTAGCACTTTGATCAGCACTGTGCTAAGTCCCGGGAATATATTGGAGAGTAAGACAAACAGGATCCCTGACTCACATAGTCTACAATTTAACATTGGATGTAAGTATTAAGCAGACAACACCACCCATAACCCAGCACATAGAATTATGACAAATCCTATCGTGATAAATTTTCCTAATAGGAGCTAACCTTGTCCAGGAATGTCAGAGAAGACCTTCTCAGAGAGAGAATACTTAGGATGAGCTCTGAGGGATGAGTAGGCATCACCAGATAAAGAGGCTCCAGAGATGGGAAGAAGCAGGACTCTTAAGTAAAGGGATGCCGGTGTGGCTAGAACTGAGTGCACAAGGTCCCCCCCTACCTCATAGGTGTTCAAAGATTCAGTGAGGTAATTGTTGGTGTATACAAGTGACACTCTGAGACCCACTTAAGGCCCTAAATGCATGTTCACCAAAGTTGAATTTCCCACAATACTCAGCTTTAGGCTCTGCACAGAATAACCTCTCCATAATGATTTGACAATATTTATGATATTATTAAGGTGAGAAAAGGACTTTGAAAATCTTCATCCTCTCATTTAACAGGGGAGGAACTTAGGACCATAAAAGAAGTAGCAGCTGTCTGAGAAATGGGAGGAGCTGGCCTGGTGCAGTGGCTCACTCCTGTAATCTCAGCACTTTGGAAGGCCGAGGTAGGCAGATCACCTGAGGTCAGGAGTTCAAGACCAGCCTGGCCAACGTGGAGAAACCCTGTCTCTACTAAAAATACAAAAATTAGCTGGGCCTGGTGGTGGAGCCTATAATCCCAGCTACTAGGGAGGCTGAGGCAGGAGAATCACTTGAACCCAGGAGGCAGAGGTTGCAGTGAACTGAGATCACGCCACTGCACTCTAGCCTGGGCAAGGGAGCGAAACTCTGTCCTCAAAAAAAAAAAAAAAGGGGAGGAGTGTGAACCCGAAACCTTTTCCTCTCCAGAACATGATTTTGTTGTGTTTTGCCATGAAGGCAGTGGGTGTGAGAGGTTGACCTGCAGGTGCCTCCCAAGATGACTGAGATAACCTGGCACTCCAATGTGCGTATCTTTCAGGCTTTAAAATTTTTTACTAAATAAATTGATTGTTGGAATAAATATAGTCTTGAGAACGAGTCAAAAAGTAACTTCAAGGAAATATAATATTTTCAAAGCAAACACATCCCAGCACAACTGCCTATCTCCATTTATGTGGATGTTGGTACATATTAGTTCCTCTTCTCCTTCCTGGTTTTTAAAAGTGTGTAGGCCCCTTTCTTACGGAAATAATAATAATTATAAACGAAGTAACAACAACGATAATAGCTTACTTTATCAGCGTGTGTCCGGGTCAGGCAGCATTTTCACCTCCATCATCATGAGTGCGTTCAGTCCATCGCCCTATTAAGAGGTAGGTTCTGATTACCTTCATTTCCTAGATGAGGAATCGAAGGAACAGAAAAGTCTAGTTACTTGACCCAGGTCCCAGAGCCAGGGTTTGAATCAAGTCTTATACCAGAGCTTGGGATCTTCATTGCATTTGATGTGATAATTCACTTGTGAAAAACAAAGCAATTCATTTGTCGAAAACAAAACAAAATCTCAACTATTGAGCTCTTTACAGTTAAAATAAAATCAGGTGTTGAAATGAGTAAGCCCCGAGAAAAGCCACCCCGAAGAGTCAAGAGGATGCAGTAACTGTCTACAAAGGAACAGAATCTCTTTTGACAAGAAAACCGATAGTAACTTTTATCTTGGTTTCACATTTCAGGAGTTAGAGTAGGGTAAACCAAAACAAGTTTTTGTTTTTTGTTTGTTTGTTTTTTTTTTTTTTAAAAAGCAAGCCCAGCAAGCTGAAACATCAGGGTCCTTCAGAAGGAATGATTTGCCGTCTTCTCTTTAGGACATCCTCTCTTTTGGACGGCAAACCTTTTCTCCAGGGAAAGAGGGCGCCCTCCTCAGAAATGGGGGTGCAGGTGAGGGATCGTGTTGCTCTAACTGTTCATAACCTCTGCACTTTACTAGATTTATCTCTGCCTGTTAAAGCAGCCTCAGGACACTTGGCTAGGAAGACTGGAGTGTACTCTCTGGGTTAGTTATTTTGGGACATTCTCGCCCAGCTGCTTGGGATGAAGAGGTCCTAATTAGATACCCTGACCTTCCAACAGGCAGATTTAAAAGAAGATGCTTCATCCTCATCCACACTCTCCCGCTCCCCACCAAAAAACTAAGTGCAAAAAAGCTTGCCAGGGCCTGCAGAACGCGCCGCGCCTGCGAGGCTGACACGCGTCTTCCCTTCCCTCCCCCGGGGAACGGGCCCCGCATCTCTCGCGGTGATGTCAGTGTAATCCGCAGTCGGCTCGGGCTCCCGGCTGGGTAGCGGGGGGCAGATGGTGCTCCCGCTAGCCGGGCAGAGCAAGGGTGTCCCCCGCGGAGGTGGCAGCCTGGAGCGTTCCGGCACCCCCGCACCGCCGGCGCGGTGCCCCGGGTGCCCGCGAGCGCCGCCCCCGCTGGCTGGCAGCGCCTCGCTCCGCCCTGGACGCGGCGGGTCCTGGCGCGGAGGTGCGGCGGGGGGTGGGAGCCGGCCCGGCTCAGCCTGATTTACGGCTCTGCTGAAAACCGCTTCGCTCCCGCAGCATCGGCACCGGCGGCGGCGGCTGCAGCAGCAGCAACAAGTCGGGTAAGAGGCGGCCGCCGGCCATGTGCGCCCGCGGCTCGGCGGAGGGGAGCGGCTGGGGTGGCCGGGGCAGCCGGGGCTGGGGCGGGGGTTCCCGAGCCCGCAGCGTGGCGGGGAGCTCGGAGAGCCGGCTTCCCGGCCCCCACTTGCAAGAACTCGCGTGCGCACGAATCCACTCTGGTACCCGTGGGCTGGCACGCAGCGGAGCGGGGGCAGGGAGAGCTGAGACCCCGAGGCAGGGTCATTGCCAGCCTGCCCGGCTCCGGCAGCCAGTCAGTTAGGGCTCTTCCGCCAGCCGCTTGGACTGGGGTTTCCGCTGGGCCCATAAAAGCCTGTGTGGCTCTGAAGTGTGTGATTACCCATTTCCCCATCCAAAAGGCCACCCCTTTCCCATTGCCCCCCTAGAATTCTGACTTCCCCTTTCTCTATCTCTTGCCAGCGTCTTTGGCTCTGAGCTGAGCCAGGGTTTGCATGTGGTTCCCAGAAAACCAGTGGTTAAACATCCCGGCGTACCTACCGCAGGAAGAGGTTCCCCTCTCTGGGGGCCGGAGGCTTCACCTAGAAGCCTTGCCACTGTCTAGGCCTCCTGTCTGGGGACCATCTGCCAGTCTGCTTTTGAAGAGGTCGAGGCACTTTTCACCCAAAGACACCAGTTGGGCTCCCTCGTTTCGGGTCCAATGCTTGTTACATTTAAGTAGAAACCATTCATGGAGGAATAGATAGGCACTGCCTGCAGAATTGGGTTGCTAACAGTCATCTGTTGCTAGGGTGAAGATAATAAATTCCTACAAGGAAATCAGAACTTCCTGTTATTAAGAGAGTTATGCAGATACCTACCTGGTTCAGACATTGACCATCCCTAGAGGCTGTCATATAAAATAGGGTTGACACAAGACACATCCACCCAGAACACCATTAGAATAAAAATCTTGGCCGTGGCCCACTTAGGTCAAATGGTATTTGATACATTGGGTCTCCGGGTTTCAGTAAAACTCACGGATGGGGTCGATTACTGTTACAATAAGTACTTTGGTTTATGTCATCACAGCAATACCTGAAGGGAAAAAAGGCAAAAATCTCAGGGTGAAAAAATTTCCGCTGATTGCAGGCTTATTGTCACTGTGCATAGCTTGAATCATCTTTCTTGTACTTGAGGAAAGGTCCTAAGCTTGCTGTCTTAGGACCTATTTTGACAATTCATGTGAGTTTTCATATTGTTTGTGGGTGTTCACGCGTCTCGGATTGTATCCTTAGAATGGCGTGCAGTTTTGCATTTAGTGTGCCAAATTCAGGAGGGCAGGAAACTGGAATTCCACGTGTGGATCTACCACTTCCCATCTGACCTTGGATTAAGGGCCTGACCTCCTTGCTCCAGTGTTCTCATCTGTGAAGAGGGAATGTTACCCACCTTTTTGATTCTAGGTAGGAGTTGGCAAACTTTTTCTGTAAAGGTAGTAAATATTTTAGCATTTTGGGGTATAGAGTCTCTGTCTCAGCTACTCCCCACTGCCATTGTAAATAATACAGAAATTGATATAGATGGATTTGGCCCCTGGGCTATAGGTTTTAATTGCAACATAAAATATTGTGTGCAAAAGTCACTTGAATTTCCTCTGCTATCATGGAGATGCGTAGCAGTCATTTTAATAGTGTGTTTTTCAGCAGACAAGTAAACTACCTATTTCCCCCCTCCCAGGACTTTTAGAGTAATGCAACAGAAGGCTTTTGAGGAAAGCAGATATCCCTGGCAGGAGTCCTTTGAGAATGTTGCTGTGTGCCTGCCATTCCGCTGCCCGAGGTGTGGAGACCATACCAGATTTAGAAGCTTGTCATCCTTGAGGGCCCATCTGGAGTTCAGTCACAGCTACGAAGAAAGAACCCTCTTGACAAAATGCAGCCTCTTTCCATCCCTCAAAGACACAGACCTAGTCACTTCCTCAGAACTCCTGAGACCGGGAAAGTTGCAGAGCAGTGGCAACGTGGTAAAGCAGAAACCGAGCTATGTTAACTTGTACAGCATTTCACATGAACATTCCAAGGACAGGAAGCCATTTGAGGTGGTGGCAGAGAGGCCTGTGTCCTATGTGCACACCTACACTGCCATGGACCTCCGTGCAGACTCGCTGGATGGGCCACGGTCAGGTCCTGGACTGCCCGCCTCAGACACCAAAGCTTCTTTCGAGGCACATGTCAGAGAAAAGTTCAATCAGATGGTTGAGGCTGTGGATAGGACCATTGAGAAGAGAATCGATAAACTCACCAAAGAGTTGGCCCAGAAAACTGCGGAACTGTTGGAAGTTCGGGCAGCTTTTGTGCAGCTGACTCAGAAAAAGCAGGAAGTTCAGAGACGAGAGCGGGCCCTGAACAGACAGGTGGACGTGGCGGTGGAAATGATAGCAGCATTGAGGCAACGCCTGACGGAATCTGAGGAGGAGCTTCTTAGGAAAGAAGAGTAAGTGTTGCTGACAGGAGATGCTAAGCCCATTGCTTTAAGCAGCGCTCCCAATCCCCCTTACAAGCAAATGCTAAGCAAGTTTGAGTTTTGCTTTTTGCAGGTGCCTTGACTGCATTTCTTATTGATATAGTTGAATCAAGAGGTACAAGGCTTTGATGTCATTTATGTTCTGTGTGCATGGTCTGCCGCCTAGCAACATTGAAGTCAAATATCCACTTCCTTCTCCAATGGGAATTTGTAAACCACAGATAATGTTTTTAGAGAGAAGAGTAGCACAGCCTACCCATGGTGTGATCCATTCCTAGCACCAAATGGTGTGCAGGGGTGAGTTGAATGGGAATGCAGAAAGGATGAGCTGAGTGACCTGTTTCCTCTTGACAGTCTCCATATTATAAAGTCAGTGATGCAAGATACTGTCTTACATACAAAAATACTCCTCCAGTATAAATAAGTTTGGTTTATTTGCCATTTTGTATTATCTTCCCAGGTTAATTAATTGTTAGTAGCTGATAATCCATTTAGTTTAATTGATATTTGGGAGAAGCAGACTTTAGGAAATTCAGAGGGAAGACTTTCTGATATTGCTGTACTTCTATGATTTTAGTTTGAGACTTAACTTTTTGGAAAATGATGTATATCGGATTAAGTTTTGGCCACTTGCAAAGAGCTGAGATTGGTTTTCACAAGTTATAGATTATACAAGCTATTGCTTGAGAAATCATCATACTTGGAGAAGCACTTCCTTATCAGTAAGTATAGATTTAACCCAAACTAGAAAAGTACACATAACAAGTCAGTGTATTTCCCAAATGCAGAACGTCAGATTTCATTTTAAATAGAGACTCAGAAATTCATGGAATCAAAAGACGTTAAAATTGATAGAGTAAAACATCCTACCTAAAAGGTAGGTTTCCAAATAATTTGAGTTATCTTATAGAGATTGATTTAATTTCATCTTTTCTTTGCCCTCTGGCACTCTTCTATTTTGTGTTGTCTCTTAAAATGTAATAATTAAAACTTCCTGAGACATTCCATAGATTAAGGAGATCATTGCTATCACCTAAATGCTTATATTCTACCTTGAGGGGAAGCCTAGACGTTTTTTGTTCAGGTGAGACATTTTTTTAAATTACATAGTTAGGATGGATTTGAATCAGCCTCTGACTTACTTTGCTCCTGGGGAAATCATCTCTAATTAAAAATGTTTCCCTTTTGGTTTCTGGTGTTTCCTGGTGGGAAGTTAGTGTCTTCACCCATTACTGGGCACAAGGGTGACCTACGCCATGCTGTTGAAGAAAGGGCAGATGGGGTTACTCTATGCATAAAAAAAGACCCAGAGTTAAGTTTATCAATCTTTGCTTGATTCAAGAACGGTGAGTTTAAAAGGCAACCAAATCAACTTTTTGAACTTATTTATTTGTTGTATTTTACTTATTAATTACACAAGTAATAATAAATATGAGATCTGGGGTAGTAGTTGCCTGGAGTGATGGGTTCCTGAATGCCTAATTATTAAAAATAACGGACTCAATAAAAGTGGGCCATGCATGGATCAGTTACATGTTGTGGTTAATCCAAGGCTGTTGCCTGAGCACCAGTTAAAAAACTAATATGTGTTAAAAAGGAAAAACTTGAATAGACAGAATTATATGTATAAAAATAGCCTTTCCAAGCACATCCTATCTTATCCTTCAGAGACAGCCACTGTTAAATGCTGTAGATGTCCCACTTGCAAAGAGTTGAGATTGGTGTCTACAATTGTACACACACCGATTACATTTTTCTAAATGAAATTGTGACACATACTGTCCTGCCACTTGCACGCTGAATTGTTTTTGTTTTTACTATAATAGGTTTCAGGCATCTTTCATTTACTAAATACAGAACTATACTACTCATTTTGACTGTTGTATAGCATTCCATGGTACGGATGCGTCATATTCCATTTAATCATTTTGTTATTGATGAATACATAGTTTTATTCCATTTTTCTAGTATTAAAAATAGTGCCTTGGTTATTATCCTTGTACATCTTTGTTCACATTTTTGTGAGTATCCCTGAGCATAAATTACGAGTTGACTTTTCTTGAGACAGAGTCTCGCTTTGTCACTCAGGCTAAAGTGCAATGGTGCGATCTCCATTCACTACAACCTCTGCCTCCCGGGTTCAAGCAATTCTCCTGCCTCAGCCTCCCAAGTAGCTGGGATTACAAGCTCCCAACACTGTGCCCAGATAATTTTTTGTATTTTAAGTAGAGACGGGGTTTTGCCATGTTGGCCAGGCTGGTCTCGAAGGCTTGACCTCAGGTAATCTACTGGCCTCCGCCTCCCAAAGCGTTGGGATTACATGGGTGAGCCACCGTGCCTGGCCACGAGGTGATTTTCTTATGTCATTTTCAGACTAACAGGAAAAAGCACTGATATTCTAAAAAAAGAAAACTTTTTAAATAAAAGTGCAGTGAAATTGCCTTAAGCTTTTAAACATAAACAACATCTTCATTTTTTTTTTTTAATGTTGATTTGGGCCAGTCCCATCAGTTTCTGTATTCAGGCCTCAAGTAATCATTCTTTCTGTACACAAAAGGGGACTGAAAGAGTCCTGTTTCCAGGGAGGACACTGGAGCTCTTGGTCCCAGAGCAGGACTGTGGACAGCGACCTCAGTGTCTGCAGCCTCTGGCCTCCCACCCCCACCCCTGCCAACTGAATGGGGATGCAGAGGGAGCTACCCACCTGTCACACCCTTAATACTGGGTTGATTTGCCTGCATCTGCCTGGCTGGGCGGTGGGTGTGTCTTCCCTCCTCACCACTCCCTCAGAGAGCTGTGCCTTCCATCAAAGAGTTGGCCTTTCAGATAAGGGAAGACCGTATTTTGCCGAGGACTATACCAGGAGCTGTGCTCCCCTGCCAGACACTTCCACATGAGCTCTGTAGGCCCATCTGTGAGAGAAAGTAGGTTGTTAACCATCTCATTCACAATTGACTTAAACTCCGGGGACCCTTTGAAACATAGGTAGTAGATTTGGTTTTAAAAAAGCAAACATCTATTATTTAAAATTCACATAAGCTTCTTTTACTTTTGGATTTTTCCTTTCAAATTTTAAAGTCCTTTCTTTCAAGTTAAAATACCCAAAGGATGCTTCTGCCCTGAGGCCATCTATAGGCTGAATCAACCAGATCGCAGAAGTCATAGCATACATATACTCATCCATATACTCATAGCAGAGGAGGTTGTTTGAATTGAAAATACCCTTGACCCTTAAACGACTCAGATTTGAACTGTGCAGTTCTACTTAAAAGCAGAGGTTTTATTTTCTCTGTCACCATTGAGACAACAAGGCCAATCCTTCTTTTTCTCCTCCTCCTTTACAATGATCCATTTCCATTTAATGAGTAGTAAATATATGTTCCTTATGAATGTCTTAATAACATTTTCTTTTCTCTAGCTTCCTTTAAGAATACAGGTATGTAAAACATGTAACATACAAAATCTCTGTTAATCATTTGTTTATGTTACAAGTAAAGCCAGGAGTTAAGTTTTTGGAGAGTCAAAAGTTATACTTGGATTTTCAACTGCTAGGAGATTGGTTCACCTAATCTCTGCATTGTTCAAGGATCAGCTATTTTGCACTTATGTACCAGTCAGTCTCATTGTATCCCCATAGAAGGTATCTATAGGTTTTGGAGTGAAAACCCAAGAAAGAAATTGCTCATCGTCTTGACAGTCAGTGTAACTTTAAAAGTCCTAGTGAAACAGGCATTTACCTATTGAAGGTATTCAGAGCTGGTGGGTAATCAGGTAAATCAATCCTGGAAACCTACAGTAAGGTATCCCTTAACAAGAAAGGATGGACTTAGTAGCTAGTTGCTGGCTGAGTTGGTCCTGTGGGGTTTGGAAAATTTAAGTGTAATAAAAGTAATGCAAACTTCACTCTTCTGCAATAAGGTTGAGAAGTCCTGATAGAACTTCTGTCATGTGCCCAGTGCTGTGCTGGTTGTGTGTGTGGGAATAGAAAATGCTTGCTGTCTTTCCCTAAGGTGTTTGTGCTGTGTATAGGAAGAATAAGGTATACTCCCAAACATGCCCATGTCCAAACAAGGGGAGTTTTGAGAAGTGCCTCAATATAAGCCACAGCTTCAAGTTGGTAAGACATTAGAGAACAGATTTTTCTGTGTGGAGAGGCCACACTGAGGGAATAAGGAGGAAAGGCAGAATTTGCATTGATGGCC